TATAGGTCTTCTACATTTTCACGAACCACAACCATGTCGACTTTGCGTCCATAGTAGGGACCTTTTATCCCTGGTAGCTCTCTGACAGGGCGGACATTGGCATAGGTTTCAAACATTTTACGCAATGTAACATTGGCGCTTTTTTCACCATAGCCTACAGGGGTTTCTAAGGGGCCTTTGAAGACAAGTCGTGTTCGTTTGATCGATGCAATTGTTTCGTCTGTCACACCAGAAGAGATTCCTTTTTTAAAGACTTTTGCGCCCGCTTCACATTCTTCCCAGTGAATTTGTATGCCAGTGGCATCGATAATTTTCCGTGCAGCATCAACGACTTCTGGTCCGATTCCGTCGCCCCGGATCAGCGTGATTGCATGTGACATGTGAGAATATCCCTTCATCCCTTTGGATTAGCGCTGAAACTACAGTAACTGAGTTTTATGTTTCTGGAAAGGAGGGGGATATGATTTTATCTCCTTTTGATTGAGGTGAAGAACAGACTTCAATTTGTAAGGGGAGGCTTTAGAGGGAATTAATTTTTATATCGGTTAATTTTAATCCTAAAATTTCTCTCTTGCGCTTCTTTTTTTCTTCACGCAACAATAGCCTCTAGTTTTCAACCCTCTCTTAACGTTGTGTTCTTTTATGTCCCGTGTTGCTTACATTAATGGTCGTTATGAACCTTTTGAAAAAGCGAGTTTACTTTGGCAGGATCGGGGGACTTTGTTTGGGGATGGGATTTATGAAGTTCTTGCTTTTGAAAAAGGGAAGCTCTTGAATGTTGAGGGGCACTTTGAGAGACTTAAAAATTCATTAGATAACTTTCAAATTCCTTTTGTTCCAGCTCCTGACGTTCTGCTTTCTATTTGTAGCGAAGTTATTCGTCAAAATCGTGTGTTATCAGGCGCTCTTTACATTCAAATGACGCGAGGGATCGCTCCCAGATTGCATACTTGGGGGGCAAATATAAAGCCAACGTTAATTGTGAGCGTTCTAAAAGGGATAAGAATTAAGCCATGGAAGGAGCGTGCAAAAGGGGGGCGCGTTATAACGGCCCCTGATGAGCGTTGGGAACGAGTTTTTGTGAAAAGCACTTGTTTGACGGCAAATGTTCTCTCTAAGCAAGTTGCTCATAAAAAAGGTGCGATAGAAGCCTGGCTTGTGGATAAAGAAGGCTTGATTACAGAAGGAACAGCCTCTAATGCTTGGATTGTCAATAAGGAAGGAATCTTGCTTACGCGCCCTTTGAATGACAAAATATTGCCAGGGGTGACAAGAAAGAATATTTTAAAAATTTTAAAAAATCAATATATTATATTCGATGAACGATCTTTTTTTGTACAAGAGGCTTATGACGCCCGGGAAGCATTTCTGACAAGCACTACACAACGTGTTCAACCTGTTACACACATCGATGATCATGTCGTTGGGAAAGGGAAAGTTGGACCAATTACACAAAGGCTTGCATCCCTTTATGATCACTACTTAGAAGAACAATAGAATTGTTTTTTTTGTTCTTTTTCTTTTTAGTACTTGATCCTTTGTCGGTTTGTCATTAAGCATGAATCTAGAGGCAGGGATTTCATGCCGAAAAGAGGAGAAAAAATAGAGTGACCATTAAGAAAAATAATCTTCAAGATACTTTTTTAAATCATTTACGTAAAAATAAGACGCCAGTAACACTTTTCTTGGTGAATGGTGTGAAGCTTCAAGGGGTGATTACTTGGTTTGATAACTTTGCGGTTTTGTTAAGTCGGGATAATCAAACGCAAATGGTATACAAGCATGCGATTTCAACAGTGATGCCTATGGGGCCTATTGACCTGTCTGAGGAAGAATAACCTTAGCTACAAAGTCTTGTGTACTCTATGGTTATTTAGTTTACCCTACTCATTTTTTTTCTTTTGTGTGCGTGATTTAATGGGGATGATCAATTTTTAAAGAAACATCTAAGGATGGCGTCACCGCGGTTATTATTGTGCCTTGGTCTCATGCGAAAGACGAAGGACGTAGTCCTGCATCTTCTTGGCAGCAGGGGCGACCTTATCATTGTTCTGCGCAGGAGCGTCTGGAAGAGGCTTTTGGCCTTACACGTGCAATTAATCTTGAGGTGAAAAAAACAAAAGTTATTCATGTAAGAAATATTAATCCCTCCAAGTATTTAAATACAGGGCAAGCAGCAGAGGTGCCACATTTGTGGGGGGATTCACCTCCTGAGATTGTTATTGTTGATACCCAGCTGAGCCCAATTCAACAGCGCAATCTTGAGAAGCTTTGGAATGTTAAGGTTATTGATCGGACGGATTTGATTCTTGAAATTTTTGGGGAGCGTGCTCGAACAGCTGAGGGACGTCTTCAGGTTGAGCTCGCTGCCTTAAGTTATCAGCGTAGTCGTTTGGTGCGGTCGTGGACTCACTTAGAGCGCCAAAGAGGGGGATATGGCTTCCTTGGAGGCCCCGGAGAGTCACAAATTGAGTTAGATCGGCGCCTTATCGATCAAAGGGTTACTAAATTAAAAAAAGAATTGGAAAAGGTGCGTCGAACCCGAAAATTGCATCGAAAAAAAAGACAGGCTGTTCC